CCCCAAAACCCCAAAACCCCAAAACCCCGATTTTATGGATATTTATTGAATAATTCCCTCCAATTAAATTTAACTTTAGCTTAAAAGCTTATTAAATAGATAACTTTGCCATAAGATTCCAAGGTTGTGAATGCATAATTATCTTGCTATACTAGTGTTAGATCATCAGGCAACTTATTGATCTCTGTGCCATAATAAGTCTCAATTTCTTCCAAAAAAGATGAGTCTGTGGAAGTTGTCAAATTGATAGCAGTATTATTTCTATTAATTCTTGATAAACTACAAATTCTATGAACATAGCTCTCTTTCTTTAATGGTAAATCATAGTTTATAATAACAGAAGCATTTTGGGTATAAATTTGGCTAGCATATAGTCCAGTAGATACCAAAAATTTTGATAAAGTTGCTCCGAACTCTCTCATTGAAAAATCTATGCTTTCTTGATCCATTTCTTGATGGATTGCTCAACAAGAGAAATCTTTCGATTTCAAATCTTTTGCAAGCTCATCTACTTTCTTTGTTGTGTTACAATAAATTATAGCTTGGCAAGAATCCAACTTCATTAGCAAATCGATTAATTCATCAAATTTTTGTTTTTCATTACCCAAAAGAACATAATATTGACCGAAACTTTGAAGATCTGAATTCTTCATTCTTAGAATTTTTGCTGGCTCTCTCATAAAATTCTCACTCATAAGAAGAATATCTGGAGGCATAGTCGGAGAGAATAAAGCTGCTCGAGTATCTCCTGGTAAAATTTTAAAAATTTCTTGTATCTGCTCTTTGTACCCTCTGGATAACATCTCATCAGCTTCATCCATAACAATTAATTTCAGATAGACTACCTGAAGGAAATCTTTTCTCATCATATCATGAATTCTACCTGGAGTGCCAACAATAATTTGGAATCCCTCCTTAAGTTTCCTGATATTGTCTCTGATATGGGTACCTCCTCATCATGCAAGAGCCTTTACCCCAGTGTGCTTACCGATGGATTCTACAATTGAACCAATTCAGTAGCAAAGCTCTCTTGCAGGAGCAAGTATTAATACCTGAGCTTGGTCTAATGAAGTATCTACTATCTGTAAGGCTGAGATTATAAAAGCAAAAGTTTTGCCAGCACCAGCTTGAGCCTGAACAACTGTATCTCTCCCCTGTAGCATCGGAAGAATAGCTTTCTGTTGAACAGGAGATGGCTTCTCAAAGCCGTAGTCATATATTCCTTTTAAGACTTCTTCTTTGAGATCTAAATCATCAAATTGCTCAACTGATTCTTCCCAATTAGATTCAAAACTTAATTGGTCGTCCTCTCTATCTTGGGTGTTCACTTTAATTTCCTCTTCGGTTGTTTCGGGAAGCTTCTCAATTGTTTCTTGTTTGCTATAAAATTTAACCATTTTTGAATAAGTTGCTGCTTTAGTTTAAACATTGGCAGTAATGATTTAAAACTCTTGTGACAGAATTTAGGGACAAAGACTTCAAGATTCAATAGATATACTTTTGTTGTTCCATAATTATTCAATATTTTATTATGGGAAAGGGGTTTTGGGGTTTTGGGGTTTTGGGG